TGCTACTACTACCGCTACCACTACTAACAATAGCAATATAGCATTTATGAGAATGATGATGAAAATAATGATAATAATAATAAGAACTCTGACGGAACGCTGGGCTTGGAAAGTCAGTAGAGCTATTGTCTGGCACGGAATTCAAGCCTTTGCACTGGCGAAGCACAATCTAAGGCCGGCACCTGCATAGAAAGAGAAGAGTTCCTGCAAGTTTTGGTTCAGCGTGTGGGTGGCGGACTGCAGGTTCTCGAGGATCGCAGCATCGCCCGTCTTCACAAAGTCACGGATACAATACAAGTCACAAAAGATCCGAGCGAGGCCGTGCTGTAAAGGATCACAATCGTTTGCCTAGGTTGACCAAGCAGGAATCTGACTCATGGCCGAAGCAACTCAGAGCGCTTCTAACATTCTCCTATTCCCTAGCCTGGCACTTCAGATGTACTTTCCCTTGCCTTTCCAACAAGTTACAAATTCTTACCAACAGAAGGGCATCACGTCAAGATGCATTGGCCTTGTTGAAGTCCCTCTCCAAGACTTTCTCATACGTTTTGAGCGTTTGTTTTCCGATGTTGGAAGCAATCTTGAAAATGGAATTGAGTGTCAATCCTGGACTCCATTCTGTCTCGGCACCTAGGCCTGCGGAGAGTTTCACTACCGCTTCTGCTATTGCCTTCTTGTCGCTCTGTAGCTGGTCAAGAATGAATAGCCCGGTTGTTATTGGAAACTTGTCAGCGCTATTGTCTACTTGGCGCGAGACCACTCTGTCCGAGCACTCCTTAACAGTTCTGTAGGTGACACCGCTTCCAGTCTCATCACCGTCAAAACCACCAGAGGCTGATGCTAAGCCAGCCCCGGAATACGGAGAGACATCTGGCTGGGGCCACCAGGAAAGGCCCGGGGCAGCGACTTCCCTCGATGTCCTTGGCTCGCTGAAGATGTAGCCGCATGGGTGCTCGCTATCTGCGTTCAGGAGCTCCCGAGCCTTCTGGTTCATTCTCTTGCGGTCAAACATCAGTGTACCTGTCGGGGACGAGAATTATTTGCAACTCGTGGGTACGGACTCGCCAGGTACTGTACCTGCACCAGATTCCCCTCCCCCCCCGCACCTGGAGTGTTCTCATCCTGGCACTCTGCGGCAAAGTCCGGGGATGTCGCGCTGAATGTAATGAGGGTCGGCTTGGGCGGTGGCTGAGGTGTTGCCGCCTCCCTTGCCACTCCAACGGGGGTTTCAAAAACCCCATCGAAATTTGTCATGGGCACAACGTAGAAACTCCCCAGGGCCAAGTTTAACGGATGGACCACATCGCTTTCCACGGCTGGGTCAGTAGAAGCACAGACTTGTGAAGGCTGTTCTTTCAGGCACCACTTGCCCAGGGCTTTGTCATACTGCAACTCTGCCTGCGGCCCAAAGCTAGTTATCGAGCTAGATCTCCTGAAGCTGAGTTGTTGTGAGAACTCAGGACGGCCGGAGTTGTCCAGACCTTCTGGCTTGGGACAGAAGATGCCTGAGAGCTCATCTACATCAGCCGTGTCGAATTGCTGATACGGGCGCAGGGTAAACGGCATGGAAGCCACAAAGCAGCAAGTAGCTTTCAGTCGAAAGCTTTCGCTTACATAATTGACCTCTGTTTCCAATTTCTTGATGGCGTGACCCTCCGCACAATCGATTTCCACAAGACCGCGCTCCTTGGAGTCGATCTCAACTTGTTCCAGGGAAGTCTTCTCCACGCAGGCACCCAGGCCCAAGACCTGCTGGCACGTCCAGGAGATCCTCAAGGAGACGTCATGGAGCTCTGTATGAGAAAAAGGCACAAAGCAAGAAAATCATTCACAGTGCATGCCAGAGTGGGAGACCTACTAAGCTTGTCTTGCATTACATGTAAATTTTGCACCGTCTTTGCTTGGAACCTCATGCCAGACTGTCACAACGCCATGTGACTTCCAACACTAGCAGAAAGTGCTGTCTGCTCTGGTCTTTGCGCTCCGTCCCCAGCCCGCTTCATATAACACTTAGTTCGACCCATCCCAGGCTGCTTTACTCCTGCTTCTGCCCCCTGCTCCTATCCCCTCCAAGGATTCTGCCGACAGCAGCCATGTCTTGAAGGGATGCGGAGATTTCACAGAAACGTTGCTGCCCGGGCTCCTTCTTCCCACCTTGCTGAAGCTGGTGATCACCTCATCGACTCCACACGTAAGCTGCAGGCTATCCAGACCACCAAGGTTGTCAGCACGCCAAAAGAATTGGTTGCTTGTGGCCGGCTTGAAATTTGGTGGAATGTAGGTTCCCCGGATGTCAGGTTCAAGATTTATCTCAATAGCCTCCAAGCGAAAACTGTTGCTCTTGACAGATCCGAGCCACATGGCCCGCGTGCATGGAACATTCTGATCAAACTTTGCAATCAGGCGATTCTGGATTATTATCCGCCTCTCCAGCCTGCAGTTTCGTCGATTCCCATCTGAGCATTCAAAGGAGCGAGCGTCGGTGCCAGTCTCTGTGTTGAGGCGACATAGACCCTTCACTGGTCCATCTGCTTCCTTGACACCCCCTTTTCGTAGTGGAAACCGTATCCAGCTCTCCCAGTGGACTTCGTTGTTGAAATTTTCGTCCAAATACATCCTGAAACCCTCATTGCTCTCACTGTCTTTGGTCTGGAAATAAGGAAATATCTCGAATCGCTTTTGGAGGAAAAACAGCTGGGACTGTTTTCCGGAGCATCGCCCCAATACCTCTTCGGTCGACTGGAGGCATTGCTGGCTTGGGTTTAACGTGCACGGTGCATGCTGGAGACACCGGTCCGTGCCCTCGTTCCGGAAGCTGTCACACCTTTGGGTTTATGAACTTTGGGGGGGTCCTTTTTTGGGGGTGTGTCTATTCACAACCCTCTTGTTTGGGGTCCATATTAGGGGCTCCTAATTTTCCGAAACTACTGCCTCTGCTCCTCCGCGTTCCCCTCAAGACGGTGGATGTGCAGGAGCCGCTCAATCCTGAGTCTCCTGAGCCCACGCCGCCGATGCCAAAGCTTAACTTTCGGACCGCCTGATTCGCTTCACAAGCCACGTCCAGACTTTGCTTCGTGAATTCATCAATTCCGAGATCCCGAGACGTGTCGACCACGCTGTCATAAGATGCCTCTGAGTTGGTCTGCTGTTTGTAGTCTTGCAAGAATAACAAGCCCAAGTCCTGACCGTTCAGGAGCTGCTGACTGTTGCTTGGCTGGCACACCTCAAAAGCCAAAGTGTTAGACCTTGCCGTAGCACACTCGTTGAAACCATTGCAGACTTGTCGGAACTGTCGCTGGTAATCGTCTCCGCTTGCAAACTGCGCAGCCAGCCTGGAGCAACCCGGCAGCTTGTAGAACTCGCCCCCAAGCTCACCGAGCAAGAGTTGCAGGTGCCAGCGGCTTCCAAAGAAGAGCTCCTGCTTATTCTTGGCTAGTAGGTCCCGGTACTGCTTGGACACCACCTGGAAACCGTTGAACGTCTTCTTTTCATGAAAGGGGTCCGTACACTGTAATACGCGGAGGCGGCCGCATTCATAACAAAAGTTGCATGTTTATGATCATGAACATGAACAACATATTCGCCGCAACAATAATCATAACCATGACACTAACAATGATCTATGAGCAGTGCCTGTGCTACGACAACAACATCTGCACACGCAACAAACTTGGGCAGTCCCTGCCTGGATGCAAGACGTACCTCAGGCAGCGCGAGCGAGGGAGACGATGGAGGCACGGACTCAGAGCAAGGAAGTCAAAGAGCAAGGAAAGACAAAAGACCATACCGTAAGAACCTCTCCTATAAGATTTGGCCAACTGGTTCACAAATATGGCCGCCTGCTGGAAACGCAACTATGCTGGCATGTACCAGTTTCCATGCGGGCTGCCTGATATTATCCGGTACTCACACGTACCTGTGCCTAATCTGATTCTGATCTCTCGGGTCATGACTCTCGCACCGACGCTGGACCTACGCAAAAATCGACCTGGGTTTGACGTTTTCTTGGACACCTCGCACGTGTCATGGGAATCTTGAAAAACAAAACATCATCTTGAAAAAAACACTGTTCCAGGAATCGGTGCGAAATCGTATTGAAGACATGCTAAGAATAACACCTTGGATCTGAAGGCCACCGTATATTGGCCAGTGAACACAAAATCCATGATCGCATCTACATGGAGCCTAGTCTGTACCTGCCTCCCCCCAGTGAACGGCGTCGTGGTCACTCTGCGTGCATGCTGGGAGAGATCCCCACAGCCGGAAAGGGATCAGAAAGCTACCCCTGACATCGTGTCAATGACACAACCTTCGAACATTAGATAGAGTAGGTTTGAATAGATTATCAGGAATGCATAAAAAGCTCTACGTAATGTATAAGTGTACCATAACCCAACACGTCATAGTATAACATGGCATGTTGATGCCGAAAATCCGAAAACAATGCCTCTGAAGAAGTCCAAGCTGCAAGCAAAGTTTGCCAGGCCAAGGCTCCCTGCCTGCGCTCTTGGCGAAGTCGTTTTAGGTTCCCTTCCCTGCGTTAAGGCTTCTGTGATATTCGCCTCGACCGTGGCCAAGAGGCGTCCAGAGATCTCTTCCAGAAAGAAAACATCCCCAAACATTTTGTCGTTGGCTCGTTTCTTCTGACGTTGCTTCTTGCGAACATCTGCAAGCCTAGCGCCGGCGGCTGATACCTAGCAGCTGCGACCCCTCCTCCCCCTCCCACCCCCACCTCGCCCTCTTCCCCCTACCCCCACCTGCCATGCCCTCCCCCACCGGGCCGAGGCGGACTGCACGAAGCATTCACAAGTGTAATTCATAACATGTCTAGATACACTATAATGTACATCTAAGTACTTAGTCCCGAAGGACAGTAGCCACTCCCCACAATCTCTACCCGGTAAGTGAACAAAATACCCACTCACTACCCCAGAGTACAAAGCACGGAAGCAGATGACGATACCCCAAGGCCGAAGCCCCAGCCACTGCCCCCGCACTTCATACCCCAGGGGGGGCGCATAACTTACCCCAACCAACACATGTTAGATCCGCTTTACGGCCCTCCAAGATGGCAAGATACCCCTTGTATCTAAAAGGACACGCCAAACATTAACTGATGTACAGTAATCTCTTGACCACTACAATACAATCATCGTGAACTCCTTTTTTCCAACAAGTCCCGTAACCTACAGCAGTCCCTACAACAATACCTGACAATAATCCCTCCCTAAACCCTAAACCCTATATAAACCCCATGCCCTATGCTCCCTTTCCGAACCAATTAGTTCACTAAGTGGGTCCATGTCAAGTCGCTTCATTCCTCCACTTTCCTGCCACACAGCGAAGCTCCGCAGAGGAGGAAGCAGACACAAAGCGCTCTGACCAGCACCGTGCCACCAGGGACCTACCAAAAACACTTCGTATCATCATTTTCTTCATAACATGAAGGGCGAGTATGACTATTGTCAAACGTGGCCACCACTTCCTAGTATGACTGTGTTGTTTGTTTTGGGTGACTTTGGAAACTCTGGGCGGTGCGGGTTCTCAAGGATGTCGGTGGCTTATAGTCAGTGGTTTGGTTTGGGGCTCACGGTAGGCCATGTCTGCACATGTCTGCACATGCAACTGCCACCTGCCATGCTCGAAGGATATAGGAAGAGGCCGCTTTTGTCTGGAGGAGGTGCTGGGCTTCTGGCAAATCCTGGGATATCCTTGCTCTCCGTCATCAGGGTCGGGGCAAGTTGTTGTGCCAATGGGAGGGGCAAAGGCGTCTCCCGCCTTTAAAGAGAAACCAAAGAACTTGTCCTGATCCCAACAGCTCGTTGCAAAGAAACCAGAGGGGCAGCCATTATAAGCTTGGGCTTGGTCAAGTACCACCGTCTCGCCAGCCCAGGAGCAAGAAGCAATTTCTCGAGGATCAATTTCTCGAGGATTTGTCAGTGCACATACGCGGTCGGTGATGATCCAGCTACCTGAATCTCCATTGGCCTCACCCCCGGGGAAGGCGCGGCAGGCCACCAAACGCGATCCAAGCGGGCATTCCGCAGCCAAACCATTCGAGGTCACGACCTGAGTCGTCAAAGAGCATATACGCGAATGTACACACACACATGTCTGCAGGTAGAGACGTAGGTTCAACCTTTATTTGAACCTTCCCCCCCAACACCCCGCCCCCCCGGGATCCAGAACCTCGTAAGCGCCAAGGTTGGGTTCGTCATCCTCCGGCTCTTTCTCAAAGTCGGGAGGCACAACAAGGTATTCCTGGGGCATTGTTAGGGACTCTGCGTATCAAAACCTGCTACAGACCACTACTTCACTAACACAATGTCAACCTACCAGCCACTTCCGAATAATATCAAAGATTCACCGCTGCTGTCCACGGCCACATACTTGCAGGAGCCACACCCCTCTTCGGACGTCCCAGAGCCACCAAGCATCTGTTTCCTTAGTTTCATGCGCCTCACTATGCTTCGATTTCTTGTATGGTGGCAACGGCGGTCCTTAATTCGCACATCCTTGTTGCCCTTCTTGATGCGCTGGGCAATTTAATTCCTTTGCGCGTCGTGCCCATCTTGCTCTTCTTGACTTTAAGGCAAGTCGGGGCAAAATGGCAGGACGGGGAAAGACACGGCAAGACGTGGGGCCAGGCGGGGCGAGACGGGCAAGATGAGGCAAGACGGCAATGAGATTTAGCGGTCGCCGCTGGCTGTCGCAATGACTAAATTGCTTCCCTGCTCCTGGCTGATTGGCCGTACTACGCCAGGCTTGTCTTCCGCATCAAAACTAACCATCCTCAGTCTTAAATCGAAAGAACAACGTGCTTTGCAAAGGAGCTTCTGGTCACACTGCACGAAGAGGCTCTGGTGTAAACAGTCTGGCAAATAGATTCTGCCTTAGTGTGAGCTGATTCTGAACGAGTAGAATCCAATCTGACATCATGGAAATGCGAAACTGATCATACTGCCGACAGTTGCCGTCTGATTGGTAAGCGCCCAAAAACTGTCGACGCTTGGTACCAAACCAGCAAAGCTCTGCATTGGCCATTCGACATACCTTTTGCGATTTCTCAAACGCAAAGAGTGTCCCGGCCAAACCCAGAGACCGATAAAGCGTTCTGCAGTCCGAATACAGCCAGCATTGATCACCTCACCATAAACAGGACGGTACAAGTCTCTTCTACAAAGCTTCAGCTGGAACACCTGCTTTAATTGCTTTCGCAGATTGTGCCTCCCCCAGCATTGCCATGCCAAAAGAAGCGGCACCGTGCCGATTCTTTACATTGGATCTCACATTGCTCTTGCGTCAGCGCTTCATTCTCGATCGCCAATTCCACACTTAAGAGGAACTTCCGGTCGCAAATGAAGGCTCCCGAAACGATCTGCCAGAGAAGCAAAGCGGCACAAGGCACGGGCCGCACTAGGACTCGGGGCTTAGGGTTCAATCTAGAAATATACATATACATATACATAAACATATATCCAAACATATAAACAAATAAATAAATATACATATATATATATATATATCTATACATATATGAGAGAGGCGCCTCTAGGGTCTATTTGACGCCCTGTTGCCTCCTTATACACTTAATGAGAATGTAAATAATTGAAATAACTGAAATAATTGAAATCGGAAACCCATGATTTCAATTATTTCAAATATTTCAATTCGGGGGGGCCCCAGATAATTGAAATAATTGAAATCCCTTCTATCTTCAGTTGGCTCCAGCCAAACCCCCCGTTTCAATAATTGAAATAATTGAAATAATTGAAATGGGGCCGATTTCAATTATTTCAATTATTTCAATTCTCCGGGGCCCCAAATAA